GGGCCCGGCCTCCCTTCCCGGCGCTTGAGCGATGGCTGCTGGGTCGGGAGCAGGCGTGGTTCTCCTTCCCGCCGGGGATCGGGCCCCGCCTATCAGAGCGGGTCCCGCCTACCTCCGGGCGCTTGAGTGATGGCTGCTGGGTCGGGAGCAGGCGTGGTTCTCCCCGGGGATCGGGCCCCGCCTACCGGAGCGGGCCCCGCCTACCTCCCGGTGCTTGAGCGATGGCAGCTGGGTTGGCAGCAGGCGTGGTTCTCCTTCTAGGTCCATTTTTTGTTCCTTGTTTTGGGTTTTGTTTTGTTTTGTTTCAATGCTAGGGATTGAGTCAAGGCCTTGTGCATGCTAATCCAGCTCTGCCACTGAACTACATCCCTAGGCCGAGTATTTTCATGTGGCAAATGAATTTGTTTTTCAGTTATTGTAACTTACGTAGGTCGGATTGTTGATAATACTAATTATGATGATGAATATTTATCTGAACTTTTCTTGTGTTTTTCTTTTAATAACATACATGGTAGAAATGCCAGTCTCACAAAGGTATGTTGGTGAGAATTGAGGTAGATTTGAAAGCCACTGTAGCAAGTTTAGTAGATTTATAACTTTTTCCCAAAATAAAATAAAGCACATGATGATACATTTTCAAAATTGGTCTTCATTCCTTTGTCAGTAGCCAGTTCTAGCAGTTGATCTTTTAAATTTGTGGTTAAATTTATGTTTAAAATTAAAATTTAATTTAACATTTTAATAGAAAAAATGATTTCCAGGTTTATGCACTTTTTAATAACAAATCATCAAACTACCCTTAAGATGTCATATATTCTAACATGGTTTAAATGCAGATGACTAGTTCATGATTTGTACCACATATAATTTACCATGCAAATGTAGTAGCTCCTGATCTACTGCCTGTTCAACAAGGCAAATGACTCCATGAGCTTGGATGTTTTGCATTGTTATATTGGTTTGAAAATTCTTATTTTGTGTAGTTATTTCATTGTGCATTAGTGAGAGTTTGGGAAGCAGTTGTTTTATTCCTTTTTATAGATTTAATTCCATTATATCCTAACTTCAAGGATAATCAAATAAAAGGAATGAAAGCTGGGCGAGGTGGCGCATGCCTATAATCCCAGTACTTGGGAGGCTGAGGCAAGAGGATTGCTGTGAGTTCGAGATCAGCCTGGGCTACATAGTGAGTTCCTGGTCAGTCTCAACTACATAGTAAGACCATGTCTCAAAAAACCATAAATAAATAAATAAATAAATAAAACAAATTAAAAAATAAAAGGAATGAGAGGAGTACTGTAGTAAAAGGATCAAAATGGCTTACCTAAAAGGGAGAGGGAAGGAAGGTAATTCATACTTACTAGAACCTGCTAGGTATACCAGATACTTTACACATAACACAGTATAAAAAATTGGCCATGTGTGTCCAGTGACACAAGAAAATGAAGTCCTTTCATGCTTATTTATTGTTTGTTGCTCTGTTTTGTTCTATGGACACCTTATACATTTTATAAAGGATGTTGGGATCAGTTTGTACTGTCTTAAAAGGTAGGAAACAGCTGGGCGTGGTGGCACATGCCTGTAATCCCAGCACTCCCCAGCACTCGAAGGCAGGAGGATCCCTGTGAGTTTGAGACCAGAGTGGGCTACATAGTGAGTTCCAGGTCAGTCTCAACTATGTAGTGAGACCCTGTATAAAAAAAAAAAAAAAAAAAAAAAAAAAAAAAAAAAAAAAAAAAAAAGGTAGGAAACCTGCCATTCTCTATGATAAACTAAGCTAGTATCTCAGACTTACAGTTAACTTTCCTTTTTAAGTAATCAGAGAAACATATGGTCCTGTGTCCTTTTGTTTGTTTTTTTTTCCCAATAAAGATTGTGTCCTTTTGTTAATTCAGTTAAATTTCAATAAATTGTTTTTGTAGTGGTCTGTAGTCTGCCTTTTTTTTTTTTTTTTTGGCGGTACCAGGGATTGAACACTCAGGACATTGTGCTTGAGAAACAGGCAACAGCACCAATAAGCTAAATCCCTGGCCCTTTAGTCTGCTTTTTAGTCAAGTAGCACACAGTTAATCAAAAAAGCCTATGATTTTATGATGAAAGTATCTCTTTTTAAATTAAGGTTTTGGCTTGGACAACAGCGTTGCAAACAATCTATAAAACATCTGCCTACGATAAGCAGTGAAACATTGCAGCTTTCTAATTACTCAACTCATCCTATTGGAAAACTTTCTAAGAATAAGCTGTTCATTAAACTTACCCGACTTCCACAGTACTACATTGTAAGTATGCAAAGGGGTGGTTGGGGAATCAAGTTCAGTAATCCTGTTAGCATCATGGATGATTTATTGTTTTATTTGCAAGTGAATTCTATTGAATATTTGACTTTCATACAGTGATTCACAACCCAATGTGTGGGGACAGGGGAGAGAGGAAGGTTATGTCTTAGTTGGAGAATACAAGGCAGCTGCATTCCTTATCTAGGATCTCTTCTACAGTGAGACCTAGTTTTTGATTGGAATGAGGCTTCTCTGTTCAAAGAAACAACTTGACAGCCACCACTATGAAGCTTGGTGTCAGATAAGCTTTTTTGGCTTCAGTTGAATATGAACTTGCATAAAGTGCTTTTGTTTTGCTTTTTGCTCTTTGTTTGTTTGAGACAAGGTCTTAATATGCAGTCCAAGCTGGCCTTGAACTCGCTATGTAGCACAGGTTGGCATCGAACTTGGGATGTTCCTGCCTCTGCCTCCTGAATGCCAGAATTACAGGCATGCATCAACACTCCTAGCTAAGGCAGCCCTCTATTTTCTCGTTGTTAATTGTTTGAAGGCATATTCCATTGTGTTGGTTGCTTGTACCTTTCAGTGCATAGGAAAATCCTTTCATTTTCCATTTTCACTTCTGGATATTTTCCAGTTGGTTTCTTGGAGATCTTTAAGATAGTTAAAATTTGCAAGAATTTGAAATATGAACTCACCCTAAATGTATTTCCCTGCCTGTAGGAATTTCTGAATATACCAAATAGATACTTTTGGTTAAGAATCTAAGGTGTTTGAAATTTTTTTTTTTTTTTTTTTTTTGGTACTGGGGATTGAACTCGGGTCCTTGCGCTTGCAAGGCAGGCCACTGAACTGCTGAGCTAAATCCCTGGCCCTGAAATTTTAAATTCAAGATTGGTTGAAGGTAATGGGGATTTTTTTTTAATGTTGAGCTGTACTTTTTCAGTAGTATCTTGAAATGAATATCCTGTTCTGATAGATCTTGAGTTGCTTTTATAGACTAATGAGTTGTTATTGATGCAAATTTTACTTTTTTCTACATTTCAAAACACGAGCTGTAGAACTAGAATTGTCACATAATAAAGGGCTGTTATTTCAGTTCTCAGTGAACTGCCAGCTCCACGTATAAAGTGATTATGCAGGATACATGTATGAAAACCAAACTTGTGTACATACTCAGCCACATGCAAAATACAATTTAGATAGCTATGCTTAAAAAATTCTCTGGCGTTATTTAACATCAGCCTACAGCTAAATTTTAGTCAGTGTTAGTGCCCAGTGGTAAAGCAGTAATTTGTTTTACATATATTTAGACCAAAACTGAATGTTGGTTACTCCTCATCCTGCAAATTTTTCACTTAGAATGTTGTATGTACAATAATTTCTTCCGTTTGTTGTAGCATAGTATTCCATGGTATCGATGTATTACAGTTTGCTTAATTTTTTACCCACTGAAGGACATCTATCTGGGTGGCTTCCAACAGTTGGAACAATTGTGATTAAAGGTGCTAAATACATTTACATGTATTTTTTTGTGTGAACACGTTTTCATTTTTTTGGATAAGTAATTGCTAGTGGGATTATTGGGTCACATAATGTGTTTTATAAGTCAAACTTATTCAAAGTGGCCATACTTGTTTGCATTCCTATGAGCAATGTTTGGAGAGTTCGGGTTCTCATTCTTGCCAGTAATTGGTATTTTATATTTTCTTTGTTTGTTTGTTTTTGGTACCAGGGATCGAACTCAGGTCCCTGCACTTGCGAGGCAGACAGTGGAACCACTGGACTAAATCTCCGGCCCAGTAATTGGTATTTTAATTGAGACAGTTTTAGTTGCTGAGATATGTATACAGTGGTATTTTAGCATAGTCCTAATTTACATTGCCCCAGTGGCTGATGATGTTGACCATCTTTTCATGTACTTACTTGCCATCCTTACCTTATTTGGTGAAATGCCCATTTTTCTTTTAATTTTATATTTTCTGAGATGCATCAGCAGTGTAATGGTTTCCTAAAGAGATATGGGGAGAAGGGGGAGTGGGAGAGATTCTCTCTTTTGAGAAACAGGAATGTGTGTTGGTCAGGAACCTTTTCTAATGGTCTGTTTGTCTGTCCGTCTGTCCGTCTGTCCTGGCTGCCGTTGTCCTTGCCCTGCTTTGCTTTCATCTTGTTATGTAGTCCAGCCTGGCCTTGAACTCATAGCAATCCACCTCCTGACTGCTGGAATTACAGGCATGCACCATCATGCCTGGCCTACTAATCACTAATTTC